ACAGGAAGATCTTTGCAACGAGAAAGAGAGAGACATTTGCATACGCCGACATCGATCACTGCGTTATATTTCTCGGCAACTGCGCTCTGCAGAATTAGAGTACAATGAGAGAAAGAGAAAGAGAGAGAGAGAGAGAGAGATAGAAAGAGTTACGTCAAGGGAACATGAACAAGCTCTGTATAAGGATGGCAGAAACTAGGATAAAGAAAGTCGGTGAGTACCGGTATATCTCTCAGCCTCTCTCTCTCTCTCTCTTTCTGTATTTCTCCCTCGTACCTCTCTCTACTATTCCAACTGCGTTTCGAGGTTCCGTGTACGTATGACGAGAGTACACAGAGGAGCCGAGTGATACCATGTGTAATAGATTCAACGGAACAGCCGTACACAACTGTCATAGAAACTGTTTTGGGACCGTAGTTTCCTCTCTCTTTTGTCGGCGACGATTCTACCAAAGATGCGACACAATCAACCCTCCCCGGCTACGTTTTACCACCCTCTGGCTCCGTTCCCTCTGCCAGGTGATAGCCGCGTGAAAAGAGATTCGCTGCAACGGAGAGAAGATTATTAGTTGCTCGGAGGGAGAACGAAAAAACGAGAGAGAGAGAGAGAGAGAGAGAGAGAGAGAGAGAAAATTCACAGCTTCGCGGGGAAAACGAACGATTTATTTCCAATCGTGGGAGAGACATCGCATCTACCCCGATACGACCAAACACTTCAGGACCAATTTAATACTCTTGAAAAAGAATTTACCGTCCTTCAGTGAAATACAAGCCTGAGCTGCTGATCTAACTTGCGGAATACCTTCTCTCTCTTTCTCTCTGTGTCTGCGTAGGATGATATCGAGAGGTTGGAAACTCTCCGCGGCGAACCGATTTATTTTTAATGTCCGCGAAAGACCGAGTGCCTTGCCTTGTTTCATCTAGCGAACACGCAACACGAAACACGCAAATGGATGGAGATAGGTTAAAAATAATTTCACCTCGCCGGGAATTCGTATAAATTCTCGAATCCGGCGAAGCGGAGCGCGCACTGCGCGTGTAGGTTTCGGTTTCCGTCCGGGCATAATGCATCGGTTCGCCTAGGTCGGAATCAGAAGAATATCGCATCGTTGTGCCACGGCCGATAAACAACGATTGATTGATCGTGCAACCTGCCAGAACGGAAGTAACGGCGACACGCTCGTGGCATTGGAACACGAGTTCGAACCAAAAAGAGGAATTGAAGAGGGAAACGAGGGGTAGAGGATCGAACGTATTTCCCGAAAATATCAATTTACAGATCTACGACTACGAGTCCAATGACGAAGTCGCGGTTCGAAATCTTTCGCACTGTGCAATCACGTTTGACTCGAACGATTTTTTAATAAAACTATCGCTCTGCCGAGTCTGTTTGACTCGACTACGTGACTTAACTGTCACGTGACAAAATGACTCAGACGGCGCAGCTATCGTCAGGCATGACCTCACACAGTGCGAAAGATGAAATAATGAAATAATTCAATCGTACGCATCGCAACTCTTGCAAAAAAAGTCCTCTGTAAAATATATTTGTAAAGGTATCTCAATTACAATATATTGCAGTCGTTTCACACCGTTATAGTTAAATATCATCGTAAAGATCTAACGCGCTACAAGACCCATTTCTCTCTCTCTTAAATCGTATCGATTTACGAGATATATAGTCAGCGTTGTGCTACAATTTTACGCTGCGCGCGGTCGTAGTGACAGAGTTGGAAATGAAAAAAAAAAAGAAAAAAAAAAGTATTCGAGCGTCACTCGGAAGATTTGAAACCGGGATTTCAGTCAGGATCTCGCATTATCCGAACGTTTTAACGCACAAACATTTCGTTCGTACAAACACGCACGCGGTAAATACCCGCGAGCGTACGAGTAATGCCTGCTATTTGAATAATTCGAGATTCAAATACGACGCGATGTTTCAAAGAGATTAGCGATCATTAAATATTGTACTAAGTCTAGGCTAAATCGCCAACAGAAACGAACAATTCCATTCCGCTCCGCTCTTGTTTCAGTTAAATTCGCCTCTCTTTTCCAATGATCTCTATAATCGGCAATATGTTTCTCGATTTAAACGCTTAACACACGAAAATTGAATCGGGGAATCGGCTATTGATAATATCTCTGCATTGTTAAATCTGCTGAAATGATGTTTGAAAAAGAATGTGGGAACACATTCAGTGATTCCAGTTATTACAGAAATATCAGTCGATATATAAATGAATGATAGATGTTTTCCTGAAGCTGCGATCGAGTTTCCTGCGTTGTTGCAGGATTACGCAGGACGTAACGTAAATTTGAATAATAAAACTTTGTCTATCGTTCCAAGAGAACACCGACCTTCAACTCTTTCAAATTTTGCAAAAGTTGTCAGACGTGATACGCTGTTAAAATAAATTAATTAAAATACGCTATTAAAATAAATTAATTAAATACGTGCTATGCTATGTTATTAAATAAATTGCTAGTTAATCTATCCATTTTAAATTTAAACTCTGAATTATCTGTACTTTTTACGCTAAAAAAAAGAAAAGAAAGAAAAAAATTCGTTCCAGAAGAATTAAGAATCCAACCCGACGAAGATTATAGATCGTTTCCATTCTGTTGTACCAAGAGTTAAACTGTCTGCAAAAATCTCTACGTCGTTCCGTCTGCACACAATCCCGAATAATTCCGACAGTTAATTCCACAGAGACACTTTCACGGTGCGGTAGATTTCAGGGGAGGAAAAAAAAAAAAATCGCATTTCACGCGCACGCACAGAGAAGTTTCCAGATGGTAGGAAAATCCACGGCGATATATGCAACTTTGCGGAATAATGTTCGCGAGACGTTCTCGAGACTCGTACACACGTTCCAAGCTGTTAATGCTTCGAAAAACAAACATGTTCGAACGACAGAGGCGTGCAATGTGCACAAGGATCCTGTCACTTCCTCTCTCGAGCGGAAACCAGCGACTCAAGTGGATATTCTACGTCGTAGATAAAAAAAAGAAATCTGTTAAAAAAATCGAATTTCTTTCTGCACTTTCTCGGGAAACACAACTCCTCGAGATATCGTCCAGTTTTAAAATCCGCTTGGACCGATTACGTTCGAACTTGCGAGTGCAACCTACTGCTTCATTTCTTTCAGCCGGCGAAAGGAAAAAACGAAAAAAGTGAAAAGATCGAAAAGGAAACTTCGAAGAACCAACGTGGTAAACTTGTTCGGAGTTTGAGAATCTTTTCAATTTCTTTCATACAGAAGTCGCTGGGAGACTTTCTCTTCGAAGATTTATGCAACCATCGACTGGCACTACTTTGTGAAAAAAAAAAAAAAAAAAATGTAAAATATGTTGTGAAACGCGACAGATAGAAGAAACGACGTAAATCTTCTTCAGAGAGGTCCTAAAAACCTAAATGGTTTCTAGGACGAATTTTAGGGCGTGCTGATCTCAAAAGGCTGAACTCAAAAGAGGTTGTACGTTAACGAGAGTAACTCGCCTGTCTCCGCTTTATGATCATTTCTCCTTACAAAAGAAAAAAAAAAAAGTCACGAGATAAATCCTAAAACACACGCTTCGAAGTATCTACTCTGAAGCAAAAGCGACACAAACACTTCGTAAGAACTTGAAGAAACACCTCGCAACGAGACCACCACCTTCAATGAAAAGCTACATCGAAGGAAGTTCAGCGGGGCGAGAGTTGATTCGCCTGTCTCACCGGTTTCCTGGTGTTTCGTGGACAAATCGCGCGAGAAAGCCGCGAGAAGAATCGAGAATCGTTTCTACAACTTGGCCGTGTCTCGACCGATCGAGTTTCGAGCACCTTTCGCCCCGAAGGAGACGAAATCCTCCCGACTGGCCAAAGTGGGGGAGAAAAATTTTAAGAGGAACGCGGACGCGAAAGAACGAAAGGCAAAAGCCTCTTGTCGCGCGTGCTCGAGGAAACGAAAACTCTTTGCAATAACAGCGTTCGCGACCCTAGCCGGTGATCCTCTTATCGAGCAACCCATCGACGACTCGCAACGACCCGGATCGTTCATCCGTGAAGCACGGTCCTGTCGGTCCTGTAGGTCCTGTAATAACGGCGAGAAGATATCCCTTTAAGGAGCTTATCGCGAAAAGGACCTCCTCTCTTCACCCACCCCTTTTCTCTCTCCTCTCAGTTTCTTCGCCTACAGCTAGTCACCCCCTTCGCTCTACTCGTTCCCTACATCTTCTGCAACAAGTGACAGCGGAACCGTCCACGTACACGCCCGTTTCGGAGAGACGCTTCCCCGGGGATCGATGAATGGTATGAGCGAGCATTGGCCAACAGGATCCGAGCGGGGCTGGTTTTCCAGGTGGAAATAATTGTATCGTTGAGAATAAAAAAGAAAAGAGAGAGAGAGAGAGAGAGAGAGAGAGAGAGAGAGAGAGAGAGAGAGGAGGGAGATAGACGAAAAACCGAGTGGAAAATAGAAGAGACGGGAACGTTTAGCGAACAGCGGTTTAATTATCGAGCAAAGCGGAGCCAGCCTCGGAGATTCTTCGCGTGCGAGGAAACGATCGAGCACACGTTTTACACAAAGGCTTCTAATAACAAGAGGATTTAGTTAGTCGGCGCGCGGATGGATGATCTTCTGTCTTCCGGTGTAATGAGATTTCGTGTCAAGAATCGCGTCGGAAAAACAAATTCGCAAGAAGATTTGCAAAAGAGAGAGAGAGAGAGAGAGAGAGAGAGAGAGAGAGAAAGTGTGTGTGTGTGTGTGTCTTTCTGACTGACAATGAGAGGTCAATTATTGTTCGCCAAAAAGTCTCGACGAAAGTCGAGACCCGAAAAGAGGTAACTACTAAAGAGGTGACTTTTAAATACTTTGAATAATTTTGAATAAAAGCGTTCGTGCGAGGAATTTTATTTCTAGCAAGTTTTTATTTCGGTTTGAAGATGGACTTTCAATAACGTTCGAGTAACGAAGTCGTTTGAAACAGAAGTCGTTTGAACTTCAGCGTTAAGTGTTTTTAAAAAAGGATTCCCGTTAACGTTGCATAATCTAGAAGCGTTTCATTCTGTTTCAGTCCTCTGTAATCAGAGCGAGCCTTTAATTTTCTGGAACTACGACTTATTGTTTGATTACGAAAACGGAATTACGAAAACGGATTTCGAGGAAGAAACGTGTAATTTCGCACGAGGAACTTGTTAGAAAGAAACATTTTCAAATGAGAAAGAGTATAAGAAATTCTGCAAGCATCGAAACTGAAATAATCCAAACAATTTAAACTGTTAGATTCTCCAAGATGTGACAATAAATATGTTACAAAAGTATATTGGCACGCAGGCTTCTTTCAGAATAAAACTACTCCTATTAAATACAATCGGCATAATGTACCGATGCTTTGCGCAGTCACTGTAAATATGACTGTAAATATGACTGTAAATATGATTTTTTATCTTGTCAATCAAGAATTTTCTATTTCGTCGACGTTGAACGATCGAAATTTCCATAGCGAAGAAGAACAAGCAGTTGAACGAAATTGAGACGAGCCGCTAACAAACGACATTTACGGCATTTGCAAGGATATTTTTTGCAAAAGGGCACGAACAAAGAGGTCATTTGAGCTGCTAATTTAGCAGACTCGTGCTGCATAGCTAACCAACCGGCCAGACGACAGGCAACGTCGAGGTTGGAAAAATAAGAGCGTAGCCTCGGCGGAAGTTGGAGGGAAGAACAGATCGATCGATCATCGGCAGGACGATGCGAGAAGACGCGGGCAAAAAGAATAATAAAAAAAACGCTAACGAAGGAAGAATGCGCGCGCGATGTAATTAAATACAACCGGCGATGCTCGAACCGACATCGACGAGACACACTTATCAAAAAAAAAAAAAAGAAACACGTCGCTGATACGCCCTTTGACCAAGGAACCAGTTACGAGCAAGACCAATAGGGTGAAAGTTAGGGCGCGATATTAATTTCCATTTCGCCTCTGTCGGCTGTTTCTCTGCTAATGTAGAACCTGGCAATTCTCCACGCCAGCATATCTTGGTCTATAAAGGTCGACGGAGTTGTAACGCGAGGAACGGTGTGGTTCTTCGTACCAGAGAGACGTGCGATACAATATGTCTCGTCTGACGACACCGAAGATATCCACCCCATGTCATTCCCTCTCCCTTCAACGTCTCTCTCTCTCTCTCAGCTGAGAGCTGGCGCAACGCTGAGAAATTCATGAAATTAATCTCGAGATGATATATATCCAGCGAATGATCGATAATTAATTTTGAGACGACGGGATACATCCGAGTGGCTGCTCCGGCTCCCGACTTGGAGCTCTCTGGCCACCGATTCGAATCGAGGCCACACGGAATTTTCAATGTTTCTGATTTCAATAAGGTCGGAGGGTCTGAACGAAATTTAATTGCAAGTTTATAATAGTTCGAAGTTTATAATAAGTCGAAGAGACGAACAAACGTCGGTTACAACAGAGTTCGTTTAGATCTTCACAAGAAGTTGCGTGAAAGATAGTGGAAAGTAAAAGCAGACAGATACACGGAGAAGTTGCAGAAACAAATTATTAACAATAGTACGTGTACAATGTGTACTCTCTTCAGCAGGTAACCAAATTTCTCGTTGAACCTTCAGTTTTACCAAAATCCCCTAAAATGTTGATAATTGTGTTCGAATTCAGTGACCAAGAGTCTCTCGAATCCATTCGCTCAAGGTCTTCCAGTGTCTCATCATCTCGCGATCAACAACTACTTCAAATCTACCATCGTCACCTCTCTGCGAACGACTTTTCCTTTTACAATTTCGACGTTTGCTTCTCTGACTACAGACAGAGAACGTGGATATCGACGGCTGGTCCGATCGACGAATACACAACGCGCGCGCGTCGGACTGCTTGTCAATCGCGAAATCCGCTTATCCATCGCGATAACCGATGCTGATGTCGATACGAACGACTGCACATTGCTCGGGCGACCGATACGCGAAGGAACGGCCCCAGCGAATTTCGCACCGCGTTCTGCTCGGTTTGATAAGTACAGAATTACGAGCCGATATTGCTCGTCCGTCTCTCGTCTCTCGTCTCTCGTTCTCGTTGTTCAAATCTCGTGTTAGCGAGATCATCTCGCGTGACCGGGAGGAGAACGCGGCAACGCAGCGGCGCATAATGTCGGGAGTTACGGGTTAAGAGACCATCGAACGTGTAAGAACGGGCCGCGCGAAACGCCAACGGTTCTTGACGTTGACTGACGAGACACGAAGGCAGGCGGAAAAAACGAAACGACCTTTGACCGCGCGAGGCCACTCGGGGTGAATACACGGCCGAGCGTTCGAGGATTTAGAATGAACCACGGTGGTGCTCGCTGAAATTGTTAAAAAATTCAATGCACTCTCCGTATCGTGCTAGATAATGTAACGAACAACGTCGAGACTGCAGAGCCTCTTCAAGTCTTTTCGATTCCCAGTTGAGAATGTGAAAAATGTAAAACGAAGAAGAAGAAATTAACGCCGAAAGATATAAAAATAAGAGTCTTGTAATACAGCGGAATACCGTCTGTCTAATAATGCATCAGTTTATCGATTATCCGGACAAGATTTTCAGCTAAAGTGAATTGGAAATGACAGATTGAGCGCAACGTGGATTTCGACAGAGATTATATTTCGTTTGCGTCGTCGCACAGAAATGCACAAGTGGTCGTCGTCAGTAATGGGAACATGTATTGACACTTCCATCGTTAGAAAATTCATATCCAGATAACCGACCGCGTTTCTACCGTTCACGGTAATAATAATAATAGTAATAATAATACTAATAATATATACTCTTAAAGAAAACTTCACATTTGGGAAACGACATAAACTGACGCGTTACCGCGAGATACTTGTAAATGCTCGAACGCTCGGACATCCCGTGGTTCACACAGAGAGAGAAAGAGAGAGAGAGATAGAGAGAGAGAGACATAGATATCGGGGACAGAATGGGGACAGAATAGAGACGAGACGTTCTGCACACACGTTCACGGTCTACGCCCTACAACACGGTGCCACTGGACATCTGCAGTAGTAACTATACATCGGGATGTTTCTGTTTAATGTGAACCTTCAAGTTATCCAACCGGGTCCTACGACAGCCGCACAGCGGGCACACGTAATTCCCTGGATTGTGCGTCAAGTAATGATTCTTTAGATTCGACACGACTCGACCACATAGTTTGCATTTGCTAGTGCACGTGTACGGCAGCTTTTCGAAAAAGTCCGACAGATTAACTTTCTCAATGTACGTGAGCGGCGCGCACTCACTGCCCTGAGGAGTTAAAAGTGTCGTATCTGCAAATAGAGAAAAGTCCTGTGTGAAAAACGGCCACTGACGGTGATTCGATCCGGGGTAGGAGAGATCCGCCTCACTCCATTTACCCCTCGAGCTCTTTTCTTTTCGCTTTGATCAGATTCACTCTACTAAGGAGGAAGAAGGGTTACATACTGTAGCGACATACTGCGTGTCTGTGTGTCTCTGTATTTTGTACGTATATCTTCGTGTGTACGTATGTACGTATGTATTACAGTTCGTAGTATAGTGTATAGTTCGTGAGCTCTCTCTGCACGTGTATCGCGTGCAGACGGAGCACGCGAGCACACAGACACAGAGAGAGAGAGAGAGAGAGAGAGAGAGAGAGAGAGAGAGAGAGAGAGATATCGACGTTCGATTATTAGATGTCATGCATTGTTCGACAGAGAAGAGATCGGTTCGCACACGTTACATATTACACACGGTGATATCATAGCTGTTTATTACATATTATATATAATATTATCCGTAATCGATTATTGATTAGTCGAGTATTGTACTTTAAATGGAAAGGCACCAATAAAGAAACCTCTATAGAAAAAATTTGTTCTTTTGCAACAGCCTTCGGAGACTAGTTCATCGTCACTATTTTATCGAGCCACGCCGACCCGACGAGTGTCAGCGTTTCTTTCGTTAATTCTATCTTTCTTTTTTTTTTCTATTTTTCCTTTTTTTTTTTTTTCTAAGCTTTCCTATTTTCTTTCTTTTTTTTTTTCTCTCTCTTTTTCCGTACACTCAGTCTTCGACGTCTTTCACAACCTACGATGTATGTATAAATATAAATATAAATATAATATAATATAGGATTTATAAATAAGTGTATAAATAGTTACTTAATACTGATCTTCCTTTCACCACCTGCGAAACAAGGCTGTTATCATTACGGAGAAGTATACAAAGCATTGCGTGTAAAGTGCTGGTCGCGACACCCGGGCATGGAACTGGACGAAATCGGCTTCGTCGACGTTTCGTTAATAATAACGGCAGCGTGTCACGAGCAACTTCGAGAGAAGAATTTCCCCGCGCGGGTTTCGAAATCATCTCCGCGCTTACACGGAGGTGATGGTAAAAGCCGCTGGGCCGCGCCAACATTTTGCCGGCCAAAGTATCGCTGTTATGCAAATCTAATCAAAGGCAATATCTCGAGGTTCTCCTCTCGCGCGCTCGGTGGAAATTCAGTTCAGAGGTTGGAAATGAACGGAGCGGGCACGCGAGACGCCCGACAACGACGTCCAACGCCTGCCTCCTCTTTGCTCGTGCGTTGAAACTCATTCTCAGTTCCATGCGTCACGGCGCGGTGCCACACAGCGCGAAAAAGAGAGCAACGGTGACGGCAATTTTCGAGAATGGGGGTAAAACCTTTCCGTTTCGGAACGTGAACGCACACGCGTGTTACGTCACACGGTGAGAGTTGGGATTTTCTTGCTCGCTCGGAGGGAGGGAAAGCATTAAAATATCCTCGCGTGTTACGCGAAAGCGGACGCGAGCGACACCACGCGCGGGAGGTAGTATTCTACGAACACGATTTAAAAAAAAAAAGACACTCTTTCACGTTTCTTCTCTTTTCGTCACACTTTGTACTTCGAATTGACTCTACGTGAGATCTAACCGATTCTACGATACTATTTACGATGGCAGTTAAGAAAAAAAAAAAAAGAGAGATAATGATCGACGGCCGTTTCTCATCGACGGCCGGTTGTACTCGTTACACGCTTAATTTCTTAATTAATTAGCTCTTAAAATATTAGAATATATGACGTACGATAAATAATCAGATTCTCTTATAAGGAAATCAATTTTTTTCAAACGGAGAAAACACAATTAAAGATAATCGAGCGAAGCGTCGTCTTGCCGGTCTTCGCTCGCTGATTACAGAAGCAAATGATTGCCGGGATTACAAGGCAAACACGACGAAGAGCGAGGTTATTTCTCATATAAGTACGATGACGAGCGCGCGTTCCGTCTGTGTCGTGGAATGCGCGAACAACGCGACAATTTCACGGGCTCAGCTTCCTCTCTGTCCAATGTCCGCCTATCGCGCGTATCTTCTCGATGTTCTACGCGCTTGCTGCGTATATAATATTAGCCGAACGTACACACACGTACACGATTTGTGCACGCGCGCGTGCGCATCGTACTTTCGTTTCTTTCTCTCGTCTATTCATTCTATTGTTTCTCCTTTCTCTTTTCTCTGTTTTTTTTTTTTTTTTTAATTTCTCTTNTTTTTTTTTTTTTTTTTTTTTTTTTTTTTTTTTTTTTTTTTTTTTTTTTTTTTTTTTTTTTTTGTGGTTTGTCTGTTCCTCTTTTCATTCACTCTCCGTCGTTTTGCGTGTTATTTCGCGCAACGAAACGAGACTCTAGGTGAGGTAAGCCGGTTCCGATTTCGCTAAAAAGTGTTTGTGCTCTAAGCGCACGAACGGCGATATCAACGATCCCTCTCGTATCCCGTGCTTCAATTTAATATGCCTTTTCAAATTGTCGGATCTCGTTAACGATATCATGCAGATTTGGCACTGATACTTATCGGGGAAATGCGATTTCATGTGCTTTTTTATGTTCGCTACGCTCTTGCCACAAAGCTTACAACACTCCGCACCGAGGTTGGAGTGTTCTAGCTTCGGCTGACTCTCTTTACTTATATCCTTCTCTTTTTTACAAGTTCCCGATGTTCCTGGAATTACAAGATCCAGTTTCAATTAGATTGCTTAGGCGACTAATTACGATTACCGACAATCTCTACCAGACTCATGAAAAGATATACATATATATATAGAGAGCTATATATATGAGAGAGAGGGATATATGCCTCTCGTATATAATATCACACTCTACGATCAAGTCAAAGAGGTTGCAGAAAAGAGGGGACTCTCTCAATTAATTACGTTCTCCAATCAATATTACGATGATATCATTACGAAACACCACACTTGTATATAATAGTAATATTACGCATGTCTAGTGATGCCTACTCGTAACCAAAAGATAAAAGTGTATAAAACGTTCATATCATATAAAGGAAAAAGAAAAAAAAAAAAACGATAAGAAAGGAAAAAAAGAAAGAGAGAAAAACGCACACCTACGATCTTATCATTGTCAAAAAGTAATTCAAGAAACGCAAAGCTAGGCACAACACGTCGTCACACAACTGACGAGAACAAACCAACATCGAGAAAAGAAAACGTTACGGAAAGAAAGAAAGAAAAAAAAAAAAGAACCAGAAAGACAACAGAACAGAGAGAAAATAAGAAGGAAGAGATGAAACAAAGAGAGAATCGGAGAATAAAAAACAGGACACGAAAAGAGACTGGGAGAGAGCTCCGATTTAAGGAAACAACGCAGGCGAAAGAATCGACAAAACTTCAAAAAAAAAAAAAAAAAATATAAAAGAGTTACTTGAAAATGCGATACTTTCTCGAAAATGCTAGCATAAGATTCGAAGAAAAAAAAAAGGTTCGAGTTTATCAAAAAAACGTTCTGGCTGCTATTTTCTTTCGCTCCAAGTTCGAGCTGGCATACACACACGCGAGATGTATCGTGGAGATTGATCAATATTCAATTAAAGTTTACTGCAGTGACGAAACTTCGTCTAGATAGCAATCCTTTGCCATTTGTCGGGCGACGATGTGAATTAAATACGAAACAACAACGATGACAAAGACAATGATGACAACGACGGTGATCAACAACAACGACGACGACAACGATGACGTGACTGCAAAAATCGAGCGCCAACAAGACTTTCCAAGAGATGGTAAACAGACCGTCACGTTAGCAACAAAATCCTTGCATTGCTATCGCACAGATACAGCGTCGTAACGAGACGCTCTCGAGACGATCGGCACGATGAGATTCGCCTCAGGAATAATCACAGTTACTATCGGAAAAAGGCGCGTTACGCGTTACGTAACCTGGTTTAGCTACCCGAATCCGACGTGTCATACTCTCGTGTTCGATCCATCGATCACTTACGTAACAAGAAGAGCGCACAGCACATGTTATGACCATATTTTGTTGCTAATATATATTTCCGTTTACTCGACTGTACTGGCGATACAGGTTAAAAACAAACAGGCGCAAGAGAGACGCGTGAAAATGTAAGATTAAGATCGCTAGTTACAGTGACGTAAGAACGTGGCAAAAGGTATTTGTAAGAGGATAGAGAAAACAGTGTGTAAAAAAGACATGCACAGAGAATCCCGCCGCAATGATATACGTATATATATACATACATACATACACACGTACATATAAGATGTATGGGATATACATATCTACATACATATATATACGTGTATATATGTATTCGTTTATAAATAAAACTTTATAACTATACAAAACACACGTATATACATTTGTTCTCGCGCAGATGAGGAAACATGTATTCGCGCGCACTCGTTCGCTCTCGCGCACCGTTCGTACCGTGGATTCCGTTATTTTGCCACGCACACACAAATCCACCGTAGGTTTAGATGTTAACGTGGGCATGTGTGTGTTTAATACACACGTGTGTATATATGTATGTATGTATATATGTATGTATATATATATATATATTTGTGAATGTGTACAAAGTAACATAAATAATAAATAAAAAAAAAAAAAAAAAAAAAAAAAAAAAAAAAAAAAAAAAAAAGAGAAAGGAAAAAACGCAACACATACGAGACCATATATACAGTCCGTCAACCATACAGCCGTTTCAAAACAATTCAGTCAAACAGTATTGTCCATTTGCTGATACCAACAGAAGAAATGTCCACTTCCCAAGGAGAAAAACCAACTATGTGTTTTTTTTTTTTTTTTCTTTGGTTAGATAATAATATAGTTCCTATTGCATTATTAACACACTTACAGATTTTGTAACTACCACATACATATGTAACATAGCAAATGCACGATACCATCACCACAACACCAAGGATGAATATATTGTGTCATCTATACCCATATATATATATACATATATATATATATATATATATATATATAATACACGCACGCACATAATCGGTTCATGTATGCATATATATACATACACATATACAGGATACGTCGTAGCAAAGAAAGTTGTTCGTGTTTTCTAAAAAAGAGGTTACCACTCACTACGCTTGCCAGACTTGGAAATAGAGGGATGCTCGCTTCGTACGCCTATGTACGACTCGACGCGCAAAAATTCTTGCAAACGTGCATGCACATCTCCCTCGATTCCTTAGATCTCCGGTATTTCCATCGCTCTTTTGGCCATTATTCACTTTATTATTCTCAAATTGTATTTATTATCATAGAGGAGAGGCAGTAAAAGAAAAAAAAAAAAAAAAATAGATAAAGCATGTATAGAATCACTCCAAAATAAATTCTTGAACTATGATTTAGCAAGATCATCATTGCAACAAAGGAGCTAAGGAAATACGTGAAATCTAAAATGTAATTTTGATTGTAATGATAGATATTTGTAGGTCTTACCATCGAGTCCGTCGAGCATTTCTGGCGGATTATGGTGTTCAGACGATTCAATTCCTCCTGACACGCCATCGCTTAGCGTGCCTGTTGTTGCTCCACCTTCTTCTCCTAGCAGTCCAACTGGATGACCCTGCAGCACATATCAAGATTATACATTATAAATTACATTAATTTATGAACAAAGGAGGCATTTATCTAGGAAAACTTTTCTCCATCTTGAAAAATATCTATTACTAATATCTATTGTGCCAACTTAAATGACAATTAGATAAAAATCTATGCGGACAAAAATTCACACAAAATATGATTTGTTTGAAGATATAAGATAGGGAAAGAGATAATAATTCTAATAAAATTTAAATGTTATGTTTTTTAAATAAATTATACAAGCATAAAACGACTATTAATCGATTTAAATTAATAAAACAAAGTTTATGGCAGTCGCTTCTTTATTTATTATACATATAATCAATAATAACAAATAGGGAAGGAAAGAAAGTTTGATTTTAATTCACATGTTGTGATTTATAGAAATCCTAAATGCGTATTTATTCGTATATATTTTATATTTCATATTTCATATGAACAAATCAATATTTTCTATAATAAGAATATTTGGACTTCCGTTTACATTTCACGCGAGATATATTCATCACAGAAGCGCATCACCACAAAAAATGCACATGCTTTGGCAATTCGTTTTACTCTAACAATATTTCAATCTCCACAATATACATCGGCAGTTCACGGCTATGTAAATATTATTGCATAAAAATATCGAGTCGAAAAATCTACAAATATAAATTTTGACACGTGACTCGTGAAAGCATAAATATTTTTTCACGATGAAAATAATGTTAAACATAAACGTACTTATTTCACTTAAAAATCTATATTCACCTTACATAACATTAATTTTTTAATTTTTTAATTTATACAACTATTGCGTTGTAATGTAATATTACAAGTTTTCATAAAACTTTCTATAATATTCAAAATTTTATAGGATTCTATTTAAATATAATAATTATAATTCTATGCTGTATATTACAATTGATATAAAAAGATAAAACTTACAATTATTAATTATTCAAAAAAAAGATAATGCTAATTATACCAATATATTTATAAAATGTTACGATTAAATTTAAAATTCTTAATCCAATTGGAAATATAAGAAGAAAGAATGTCCATTTATCTTTCAAAATACTATAGCATAACCATGATTGTCTACTATTATATTTTATCAAAATGTGATATGACTGGTAAAATTTTAAATAATTATGAACATACATGCAACTAAAATTTTATAATAACAGAAAGTAAAAAAAACTGTTTACAAAGGTCTTTATAATATTCAGCATTCTTGTTTTGCATGATAAGAATATTTTGTTAATGATTGAGATAAAATTGAATCTTAACTGAGCAAAATTAATTAAAAAATCAGCTGCTATTAAGATAGAATTATAAAAAGAAATCAACAAGTTTCCATGATATAAGTATAATTTCCTTTTGCTTCACTCTCTTTAGTTACACACAAATTATGAGCTTTGCACTTGTCATGATGATTGACTATCTCAAGTCTAAAATTACCATTTCCAGCAGCAAATGAAGTGCGTATTTCAGGAATTGTATCACTCCATTTTCTACAGTATTTACAAAACATAAGATTTGACCTTTCATCATACTGAAGCCATGGATACATGTCCAGCCATCCAATTTTGAATTTACCAGTTTTTCTATTTTGAGGAGTTGTACGTTGTGAATTATTGCACAAAGTTGATTGTATTACTGACATGCTTGGCTGTGGATTTACAATTATTGACCTATGTACATTGTCGTTTTGAAATTGTTCAGCATTAGCATTAGTTTCAGAAATTGAACCAAGTAAGGAATTGAATTCTACATTATTATTCTTGTGTGAATTAGATTGATTTTGTAAAGATACATAAGAATTGTCATAAGATTCAGATGCAGTTCCTGATATATTGATAGACATAGAACCTCCAGCCATGATAGTGCTTTGGCACGAAACTTGTATCACAGCAGGATCTTGTTGATTTTGGGTCATGTTCTGTATATCCATTGTTTCGTCACTCTTCCCATCTCTCTGAACTTCCCACTCCACATTAGTCTGTCAACAGAGAAGGAAGGATATGTGTTTAATCAACACATTTTTGATTTTGTCTTTTAGCATATAAGAAGCCAATTTTGTATCTCAATTTAGATATCCCTTCCTTCCCATGTCTGTTTGGACTGAGTAGTTGTAGAAAAATAGTAGAAACTCATTGATTACAGGAACAGTAACGAAACTTCATGCTATTTGTATAATTTGCATATTGCATAATTTCATGAATAGCTCACAAGCTACACATGAAGAAGCTTTTTGTAAAATATGAATCACAAATATAAAATGCAGCAACAAAACAAAAATATGATAATATTCTGAAATAAAAGTAACACATGACACACGAAGTTAATTCCATTAAGGTACATTAATATCAAAATTTATACTATGTCAAAGCAACTATTAATTATTACAAATATAAAGAAGAAGAATAATTGATTTATAAAATGATTCAATATTAAAAATGATCATGACAATGTTTATTAGAATTAAATGTTGTATTCAATATTTGAACGTAAATTTAATTTAAACATATATTTTTGAAATCAATAAATAATTAATGCAATAAAAGAATTGTGAAACAAAATATATTAGAAATTGAATTCATAAATTTTATGCTTCAAAGAGCATATTCATTTTATTAGCATGTATCTACAAAGAGCCAAATATCATAAACTACATACATGCTACAAATTACATTACATGCATATTGTAACACGTTCTTTCATAAATACCTGAAAAGTATACACAAAGTTACTCACTGGGAGGGAAATGTTGTCATGGAAGTCTGGTAAGTGATGATCTAGCTCTTGCTTGATTGAAGGTTGTGGCTGTGATGCAGGAGACATAGGTCGACCACCATCTTCCATATCACCTCCCATGGCATTGTTTAACTTTGGAATCACGGGGGGACTCGATTTGTAACTACATTGAGACGATGCCTGAAAAACAATAAAATACAAGATCATGCATTTTGGAAACAAGTTAGAGATGTTGTAACTATATATAATTGTAATAACATTTATATTCAATTTATTTAAATTTACAATGTAAAGGGGAATTTTTCTTCATAATAATGACAAAAGAGAGAAAAATTGTTATGATTGACTAAAATTTTAAATTATTTTCCCTATTGTACATTATTTGTAAAGTTTCTATCAAAATGAATAATACAGAGAAATTATTTAAAGAAAGGAATTATTCAGAACATCATTATTTCTGTACATCATCTTTCATCTAATGGATTAGCTGTGACAGAAATGATATTTTAAGATCAGCATTTGCTATATATCTCAAGGTTACAAGTACAGATATTTGAAAAGCTGTCCAATCACACAGATATATAGTTTAATGATAATAAAATACGGTCATTATCTCAGAATTTTAAGCGCTACCTGTAAGGAAATTTTGCCCATGTACACGTGACTACACGTGCATACGTGTACGCATGCATGCACAACGCACGCGCACAACTTCGCGGGAGCATATGTTTTGAAAATGATTTATTCAAAAGTGATTAATTTACATTAATCTACTACTAAAATATAAATTTACACAAAACATAAAAAAAAACTGTAATTGAATCATAAAATAAACATGTAAGAAAGAAAAGACAATAAACATTTTACACATTTCATTTTTAAGAATGCATGACATGTATAATTGTTTTAACATTGTTAAAATGTTAATGTTTTCTCATTGAAACAATTTTCTCTTCATTTTATCATATCAATTTCTTAAACATTGCAAATAGGATACAGATAACCTAGAAATGGTGGCAACTAGTATTTACAGTTATCGGAGTACAAAGAAGACATGTTAAAAATCATAAAGATAATGGTCATTTTATGCTTTTTATATTGTTGAAAGAACAACATTGACAAATTCATTGCAACAAATATTCTAAGAAAATATGTACAAATATTTTTGGAATAATCTGCAAAAATGAATTCAATTAATTCACTATTTTTGCTCTATTATTGTTTTTGTAAGACTTTTTGCTAAATGCCTATTTATTATGCATTCAGACATTAAAATAATGATAATAATTATCGTTACAAAGGAAAAAAATAGGTGGTACTTGAATGGTTAAAGAATAAAAACATAAATCTAATGATACTTACATGCACACAAACTAATAACATCAGTATAGACCACTTAAAATTACATACCTGAGAATCTGACATGAACCGTTCACTGGGTGGACCACTAAGGGAAACGTCATAGCTGCCAGAAGCCTTTCGTTTCCTCTTTTCAGGAAGAGGCTGAAGGTTAGGCGATTCAGTATGCCTAATACCAGTTTGCGTTTCTGGTTCTGGTGATGGACTTTTCTCTTCTGCCTTGTTATTAACACTATTATCAGTGAGGCCTCTAATCTGTAACGCCTCAGCTGTTTTAAGGAACATTGGTAGCAGATGCTGACTAACGTTAACTTCTCCCTTATACATAAAGTGCAGCAACGCCTTCATTTCCGTTTCATTGACATCCTTCAGGAATATAATTGGATGGGGATGGGTATTCTGGAGGAAAATGCTCTCGAAATATGGACTGCATGCAGAGAGTATCGTTTGGTGTGCCTTGAATGTCTCTCCAACACAAGCCAGGGTTACATCGCACAGTGCCTCTCTGGCAAGCAAGGAGCTGAGAACGTCTGTGAGGTTGGCTGGATGATTGTTCCATCGTAGGCAATACTGTTGGTCCATCTTGTCTATCTCCAATCCCGACCCTACAACCAAACTAGCTGCCCTGAACTGTCCACACTAAAGACTTTGATCACCCTGACTACAGAATGACTCCCTAACCCTTAAAACGTTAACTCACACGCCTTCTTCACGCACACTCTCCTATATCGGCCTGACGATATCTCCTCAGAGATTATATCGCAACTCTAGACCCACACAACTTCCTCTGTGCTTCTGCAAATGTGCCACATTGCAGTATAACTGTAAAACCCTTCAGGGTTCACGCGTCGCTACTATACGTACCGAAAACATTTTTTCGCATAACCTCGACAACCGACAAATAACACTGTCCGCGATTTCACTTCGATAAATGTAGCGCGAATTAAAAGAAGGTTAGAGTATTAATTGCGACGTAGTATGTGTCACCCACGGATATGATAATATCCTATATTCGAAGATAATGTTTTCGGCAATGTCAATATTCGCGAGGCTTGGGCGCCATTGTCGGCCGTGCTCGTCTAGCCACGAGCCTTCTCGCGAAAACTCGATTTGTTGATGCTCGATTTCTAACCATTCAAACACGCTTCACACGCGGCTTTATTTACCTAAACCCAGCGCCAGCTAACTAACGCATCGTCTACACTAACAACCCGAGTTTGTTTATCGTCCCGATGATTACTCACCTTTCGCAAACTTTTTGCCATTACAACGCCACCCGACCCTTAACGTCCACTACCATACCAATCTGCCAATGCCTACGGCCTTATTTTTAAAATACTTTTGACCTTCGTGCATCTGCCGGGGGGAATGGCGCGAAGGGCGCTCGAATTCAAACGTTGCTAGTCACGCAACGCGAGTTCTCTCACAGTTTCGATTCAATTAAACATATCTTTCGCTCTACATTTACGTATCTTTGCATCGATACTTGTATAAAAATGATAATTTCATTATTAAATGCATTATTAAATGCAATAAATTAGAATAATCACTGATATTTAAAGAAATGCTTATTTGTCTTTTGAAAAATAGAATTCAATGAATTATATCAAATATTGCTATTTCAAAATTTCTCTTTTCGTTTCTGATTTTCATATACCAAAAAATTAGCAGTTATTAAAGCGATATGTAATATAATGTAATTATACAACACAGAATGAAATGGTACATAACTTTTACAAATAAAATTATCCATTGAAAACTACAGTATGCGTAAATGTTGAAAGTCAAAATAAATAAATAAATGTTAAATTTTCAGTTATCTTTTAAACAATTCTATTCAATATTCTATTCGTTTGTCAACAAAATTCCTACCATTGTAATATCCAAAATATAAACAATTTTAATCGTTTCTTACAATAACCAATTTTTCATTTTAAAAAGCTTATTACTTTGATTAAATGGAGTCGTCGCAATAAATAATAATTTCTCTTTCGCTTTTTTTTTTTTTTTTTTTTTTTTGACAAACTACTTTAACGGAAAACATCGTGTTATACTGTCGAGATATTGCAATGCACATGGTACACGTAAAATTCATAGATCATCGATCCATGAGGTGTTACAAAAAGAAAGTTTTAAAACTCGTATCTTTCTGAAACATTGTCAATTAAAAAATCGAAGTGTAATCTAGAGAACCGTTTACACGATTGTTATCTTGTAACTACTTCCGCGAATGGAGCATACGGACACGAAGATCTTTGAAAATTTTTCCCTTTATCAGAAGACCTGCTTCCCTTTTGTTTGCACTTTGGTTAAAAGGAGATGCGTTTGCATCCACGTTATTACGAGAGTGGATTACATTACACGGAAAATCATGCAGTGCAAAGGGATCGTTCGGCTTCATTTGACTCCAATAAACGATAATTCGCGCAAATCGTAAGCTTTCTGATATTAATTTTGGCCGTTTGCGAGCCAGACGATAATCGCGTTAACCGTACGAAATCAATAGGTAGCGGGAAAATTGGAAAATCTTCTTAATCGGTTTTCGAATATGGATTTACAAGCTTTGCTCGGCCATTAACAGATTTAATCCGCACTTTGATTGGCACCGCGCAAAATTACTATTCGCTTGCTTGTCCCCCAACCAAGATACGGCCGCGCTGCTAAATAGGAATTCAGTGTATTAAGCGGATAACACAACGAGCATAATTGAATTTATCTCTGGACTCGTGTGTTTCTGAGGATTTTTCAACGGGTTGCCCCTGACGACGAGGGCCCCGTGAAATGTGCGCCCGCGATGTATTTTACAGTGATAAACCGATGTTTCGAAAACGATAAATTCGTTTAAAGGAAATAAAACACCTCGCATTCATGTTTCGCGGCCTGACATCGTTATAAATTACAACTGACAAAATTGTCTCGTTTCAACAGAGACGCATAAGTAAGCGAGATGAAGAACTGTAACAAACTCGAAAAATCACCGCCGAAGGGAGAAACGATTCGTTTCTCGAAATCGCTCGAATGTTTCCACTTCGTGAAAATTTGCAGAAAATTTCTCTTTCCTTTTTTTACTCTCTCCTTTTTCCCCCCCTTCTCTTCCTATCTGATTATGACAAAACGTACAAGCACAGCAGACAAACAGAGAAAAAAAAAAAAAAAAAAAGAAGAAAAGAAATAGAAGAGCGAGTAATCGTGTTCGGTGGTATCGGGTCAAATTTGCTCGTTTCGTCGACGAATAATTATTGGAAAGCTTACGGTAATTAGCTGTTAGCGCGTTTACACACCGATCCTTTTAATCGCGCTCGGGTGGCTTTTAATCGCGTCGAAGAACAGAGAGCCTATCGCTAACGAAAAGACTGCGCATTTGCTAAACTCTGGCGCGACATCGTCCTGGCACGACTAAATGGTTACGCAATTAATTGTGCGAACTGGTTCCTCGAGCGAGTTGCCTCTAGTTCAAAAACAGGAAATCTGCTTCTAAAGTAATATATGTATGTATCATATGCAAATGCATATGACGTCTACACGACACGTCCGAACAAATGAAAATCAACAAGGATATTCAACGTCGAGTCGTGTGTATTATGTATATACGTGTGAAAGAGCAAAGATCGACGTTATTAAAGGACAGACAGACTCACAGAGAGAAAAAAAATGGCTGAAAGCTTATCTTTAGGCAATGAACGGACCTGTAGATCCTCCATGCGGCTGGGATACCGGCGAGCATCACCGTTATCTGCATAATTATCTCACGATGGCCTTGATTGTTCCACAAGGAAAACAAGTGGAGGCAGGTATTGCGGCTCGGCGATACGTCGCCGCTTCTCGCCCTAGTGCGATGAGAAGTTGCGCGACGATCGGCTGACGTAGCGCGATGGTAAGGAAAAGAAAAAAACATTTTCCTGTCTTCCGTGAGGCTAGCGTAAATCTTCAGGATCGATCTTGGCGCGTTGCATACCGGAAGCGCAGCGATGCCACGCTGCTTGCGCGATCATTTCGCGCCGCGCGCATGCTCGCGCGTTAACTGCGCGCGCATCGATTCCTCGTAAATTACACGACACGTAGAGCTATTAGCGTGGCGTTTCGCGGTAAAATTTCTCGATCGTCCTTTCTTCTCTCGTCACATAATCGACGAGACGACGTACGCATATGTACGCGACTTTCCTCAAAGTATTTGTTAAATTTCCGTCCAATCGCTCGGACTGAAGCTCGCAGCGAAGAGAACGTCGCACGCGATAGCATGGTATATAATTCACGCTCGAACAAAAAGCAACATAGATTCGCGCCAGTGCAGTAAAGTTTAATGCAGTGGTAAGAAAGTTCGCATAAAATACGTTGTCCCGATAAACAGACGCACGTTGCTGCGCTCGGCCATACGTTTTCTCAGCGACAATGCGACGGCGTCGCTTACGAGGGGACAGAGCACGCTTTAAACGCGTAATCTTGAGAACAGGCGAGAAGTTTTGCCATGGAAACCCGGCGAAATTCGCCATTCTTACGCGTTTTGCAAGCATGTAGTCGCGGATATAAGGACGGTTTGAAAATCGCGAATACGCTCGCGTAATTTCGCCGCAACTCAATTTTTCCTCCCTCTCTTTGACCAGCGATCGAAGGATTCGATCGATGCGTCATCCCGGCGACGTCACGGTACGGTACGAGAGACCGTGAGGTAAAAGGAAGACGGGAGTATTTGCTTTCTGTTCTCTCTCGTCGTCTTTTTCACAAACGATCGAATGTAAACACGTTGTTTGGCGTCGATTTATGCTTGAGCCTTCGGCGAGCTCGTTTTAATAGAAGCACCGTCTGTCGTTTGAAGCGACAGAGAATCAACGATAACAATTCATATATAAAATGCGAAATGTTTTCCCCCACCGCCACGTCCCTTTCGTTGTTACGATAATATTTTTCTTTCTTCTGGTTTCTTTCGTCTTTCTCGTTGTTTTTTTTTTTTGTTTTTTTTTTTTTTGTTTTTTTTTTTTTTTAAATTTGATTTCTATCTTAATCTATACTCGATGCACGGGAAAACAATAGGCGCACTCGGGGCTAGAGTACCGCTCATTGCGGCGGATTAAAAATTAATCTTGATATACCGTTATTGCAATATTTGTCCACCGGAATGTATCATCTAAGAAGTTACGATGTTTTGCACCCGTATACGGAAAGAACGTTATACGAAGAAATATCATGCGAATAATTTCGAGAAAATTCTAACGTAGCACGGAGTTTGTTCTTTCCTTCATTTTTTTTTTTTTTTTTTTTTTTTTTTCGATTTTTTCCCCAAAAAATTCCCACCCTGGGTTTTATCTCTTCAGATTTTATTTATAGACCGTAAAGCGACTAGCATATTTCTACGAAATTTGCATGACGGACTTTTATGGAAAAAAAAAACCTGTTCCCCGTAGGACGTTGCTTTTAAATTATATCTTAAGGAATATTTCGCTCGCACGGACCGAAGAACGTTTTACGTAGTCCGAATAAACGAATTCCAATCCAGAAATACCGTTTCGCGTATTTCGAATTCTGATTCCAGGAGGAAATGAGTTTCTTTCCTTTCTTTTCTCTCTCCTTTTTTTCTCGCCTTTGTTGCTCATGACAAATACAAAATTTAATATTTATTGCGTCACGCAACCAGCTAAATTATAATTTTAGACGTAGAATAATGCTAGATAATGAGTATATTCAGCTCTGTATATTTATTCGTCGCGCATCTTGGCTAATTACGAGAACCTTAACTCGAAACGAAGAAAAGCAACGTTTGCTCGTAATTTCTCCGACGTGAAATATCTTATCTCTATCACATTTTTTCCCCGATTTTTCTTATTTAACGCGTCTTAAAAGCTACTGAGTCTAAAAAAATAGATTTGATATCGTTTAATTGAGCAGAAGTCAGTCTTGGCGAGCGTCAACTTTCGAAATGTCTCTTGCCTATTGAAATTTCATCGCTCGTAAAAGTTCCCCTGCACTGATTTAGAGCGTGAAAGGATATCTTTCATCTCTCTCTCTCTCTCTCTCTCTCTCTCTCTCTCTCTCTCTCTCTCTCTCTCTTTCTCTCTTTCTCTCTCTCGTTTTGCTATTCGAAACGGTGCGAACGGTGCGCGATTATGGCGTGGCCGGAAATCGTCTACGTTAGCGCTGCGTTAGCACGCGTCGACGATTACGTGTATATATTCTCGAAAATTGACAATCGCGTTACCGGCGCGATTTTTTATTCGCGCTCTTCGCGCCAGTTTATGTTTCAATCACCAACGGTAGACCAATAAATGCAGTCTAGTTTACAGAGCACATTATCGAAATCCGTTAAACTATCCGGTTTTGCAATCAGTAACGGAATTTAACTGGCGGATTCTCGCCC